TGGCTTCTCTCATTGCAGAGCACAGTCTCTAGGCGTGCGGGCTTCAGTAATTGTGGTACACAGGCTCAGTAACTGTGGCTCCTGGGGGCTCTAGAGCGCAGGCTCAGTAGTTGTGGTGCACGGGCTTAGTTGCTCTGCAGCGTGTGGGATCTTCCCGGACCAGGGCTCAAACCCGTGTCCCCTGCATTGGCAGGTGGATTCTTAACCACTGCGCCATGAGGGAAGTCCATCTGCCCCATTTTTAAATCAGGTTGTTTGTTTCCTTATTGTTAAGTTTTAAGAATTCTGTGTATATTTTGATAACAGTTCTTTATCAGATATATCTTTTGCAAACATTTTCTTCCAGGCTTTCCTTCTCATTCTCTTGAACTTTATTTTGTCTTAAGATCAGAAAGTAGTGAATATTTTTTAAGGTAAGAAGGAAGAGCACTGATTCTGATACTCAAAGCACACCATAATTTCAATTTTACAGGACAGCCCTGATCTAGTATAATTTTAGGCAATTTTAAATTGTCAAATGAGTCTTTATCCTTTACGATCAAATATTAAAGACAGTAAATCTTAAACAGTTCAGTTTCCCAAAATTATAGCTTATATTCTGCTCATATTCTGATATTTATCTTTTGAATGATTTAGAAGATATAGTTGAGGCTCTGCAAAGCAATATCATTGCCATGTCCTATTTTCCTATTTGTTGTAAGTTCTTAAACATTTACTTCCTAACATGCTTTCTGCCTGCAGTAGTACTGCTGGATGCTTTATAAACTCTGGAGTAAAGTTCTGATGCCTTGTGCAAGAGTCATTGCCTTGTGGGACAGATATTGACATGAAAATGCAGGAGAAAAATCTGTCTCTTAGTGCTAAAGTAGAGAAATTCTAAGACTATTACAGAAAAAGGAGATTTAGGGAGAGAAGGGGAGGACTTTTTGCTCTCTTTTGTTCCCAGAAAAGAATAACAATGTTGGAAGGCTGCAAGGTAACAGCCCTCTGAGGTGCTTCTTTCCCTACCTACCCACCTGTCTCTCGGGACATTCAAGTGCTCAGTGATTCTTATTCTAGAAAACTCAGAAAGGGGAAGGGGTCAAGGTGAAGGTGGCTCGTCAGGCAGCTATTCGAGTACCAGGGCCTGAAGAATTGTCATGATTCAACAGTAACTTTAAAGTAAGCTCTTTCTAAAAATATCCTATCATGCCAACCAAGTCTGTCAGAATGTCTAATATTGTAGCGTGGAGGAGTCAATGTTTTGGCATATACGAAGAGTTGTTTTGTTTTTTGGGGGGTAGAGGGAATAATTTGTTTTTTTCAGTTCAAGAGTTGAGTGCAGGGGCTTCCTGGTGGCGCAGTGGTTAAGAATCCACCTGCCAATGCAGGAGACATGGGTTCGAGCCCTGGTCCGGGAAGATCCCACATGCTGCGGAGCACCTAAGCCCATGCGCCACAACTACTGAGCCTGCGCTCTGGAGCCCATGCACCTAGAGCCCGTGCTCTGCAACAAGAGAAGCCACCTCAATGAGAAGCCTACACACCACAAAGAAGAGTAGCCCGCGCTTGCCGCAACTAGAGAAAGCCCGTGCGCAGCAACGAAGACCCAACGCAGCCAAAAATAAAATAAATAAAATAAATTTATAAAAAGAAAAAAAGAGTTGAGTTCAGATACCTCCTGAGGTGGGTAATATTCTGCCTGTCTTGTTGATTAAATAGATTTCTAACGGTAACTGTCGAGATCAAGACCTTTGGGATGCAAAGAGAGTTAAGGGTTGATGAGTGGTTCAGTGTGTGTGTGAGAGTGTGTATGTGTGTTTTGGGATGTGGAGAGAGGATTAAAAATGGATAGTTTGATAGTGGGATGAGAGGACCACTGAATATTAAGGTAACGTATGCCGGAAAAATACTTCTGGTTTTATGATTTCCCTCATACCCATGACTGATCCCGGGAATACTGAGAGTATCAATAAAGGACTTTACTATACATACAGATCACCTAAAGTTCTTGTTAAAAAGCAGATTTTGATTCAGTAAGTTGAGGGGTTGGGAGGGGCAGGGCCTGAGATCCTGCATTTCTAACAAGATCCTAAGAGATGCTATGGACCACATTTTGACAAGCAAGGACCTAGCAAACCATGGGGTTCAGTTCATTTCTGGGTGGACCAGCTAATGGCTGATTCAAGCTCTGAAGAAGCTCTAGAATTGACCCAGCTGCCTGTGGGACAAACACGTGGCCACTGCTGCCCATGAAGGGGGTCCTGAGAGCCCTGCCAGTCCTGTGCAGAATAGACACACTTGTGAACGGATGGAGTACTATACCCTCTTAGTTTTGTTTTGACCAAGACAGAGTTTCTACTTTATAGGCCAGTCTGAAACTAAAAGGACTCTTTATGGCCTCAGTGAAGCTGTGCATCACTTTTGTCACAGAGCAAAGGATTCATCTCAAAATGCAAATCTTGCATTAATAACATCCTAATGCACTCTGAGGTTGTATGTACCAAGAAGCCCTCAGTTTACAAAGATATTTGGTGATGAAACATGGCAAAATAATATCTTAAAGTAGAAATATTCAACAAATGAAAACTAAATGCTTCTTTCCCGTTTTGGAAATCTAGGATTGAGCATAACCTATCAACAACTTCTGTTCTAGGAGTTGGCAAACATTTTCTGATTTTAATCTGCCAGATAGTGAGTATTTTATGCTTTGTGGACCATATGGTCTCTACCACAATTATTCAGCTCTGCCACTGTAGTACAAAAGCAGCCGTAGACAGTACATAAACAAATGGGCATGGCTGTGTTTCAATAAAACTTTACTTACAAACATAGGCAGTGAGTGGGATTTCACCTAGCCATAGTCTGCCAACCTCTATTCTAATCAATCTGCAGAGAAAAACACCTAGGCATTATTTTTCCAGGCCTGTTCCATCTCACTAAGGTTACTACTTTGGAAAATGATGCTTATGATGCACCAGCAGTCACGTATGTACTTAAAGCTGATCTTTGTTCTTTGAATGTTAAGAAGAAATCTGTATACATTCAATTCATCCACTTGCATTTGCCAGGAACCGGAAATACAGTGAGAAACAAAACAATTACTTCTCTTGAGAGGTGTAGTGATGAAGTAATGAGGCCTTTGCTAGGGCAAACATTAAGAGCTATGAGTGCATCACAAAGATCCCTAGGATTCTTCAAGTCTGAGAGGTACATAGTAGGAAGTTTGGGATGGGAAAGTATTAGGAAACAGTAAGCACAAACATCAAGAAGTCATGGAGAACACTGTGTTTGGTAAATTGGATTGAAATATTACCTGTTGGATTGAGGGTGTATTATTTTTAAAATGTATTTATTTATTTTTGGCTGCGTTGGGTCTTTGTTGCTGCGTGCGGGCTTTCTCTAGTTGCACTGAGCAGGGGGGCTACTCTTCATTGTGGTGCACAGACTTCTCATTGCAGTGGCTTCTCTTGTTGCACAGCACGGGCTCTAGGCGTGCGGGCTTCAGTAGTTGTGGCATGCAGGCTCAGTAGTTGTGGCTCATGGGCTCAGTAGTTGTGGCTCGTGGGCTCTAGAGTGCAGGCTCAGTAGTTGTGGCGCATGGGCTTAGCTGCTCCATGACATGTGGGATCCTCCCGGCCCAGGGCTTGAACCCATGTCCCCTGCATTGGCAGGCGGATTCATAACCACTACGCCACCAGGGAAGTCCTGAGGGTGTGATTTTAAAGAGATGTAAAAGATAATAGTCAGCATCAGGAAATGAAGATAGGAGTGTAATGCGGGATTAAATCATGATCACATTTGTGTGTCATGCTGAAGAGTTCAAACTTGTCCCAGATGGCATAAGGGGAAGAGAATAGTCATTCTGCTGACCTATTCACATACTCTCTATATAACTACCCCCCAACCTCCTCAGAGATTAATAGCAAGGGATCATTTATGATAGCAAGTCACAGTGAGCTGTGAGTACTACCTACATCCAACTGCAGTAACAAACTACCAATGAGAATAAAACATAGATGCATTTAGATCACAAAAACAAATTCCTTCCAATGTGCTATGTGCTATCAAGTGACATAGCTTAAATTGTATATACTTATTCCTTAAAGTAAATTAAAGAATAGGAACAATAGTATAATTTCTAATTAAATGTCCAAAGAATTGATACAGCTCATCAGATGTGTTATACTGTACCCAATGCCATGGTATCTAGAAAAATCACAAAATCCCCTAGCCTGGGAATCATTTAATTATATTTAATCCACATATTCCTAAAGTCAATAGGTCCTTCTTACATTTTTAAATTGTTTAAAAATGCTAATAGGATTATTTTACAGTACAATAATGGAGACTTATTAAGGAAATGACGTGAATGTATAATGTGATAAGTAAAACAACGTATTCCAGCCTCTCTTTCATCCCAGACACCCCACACACACAGAGAGAGAAAAGCTCTAGCCAAATAAAAGTTTTATGAAAAAAATAGAAATTTTAGAAAGAGCACAATAATACCATCAGTCTTAGGTTTATTGATGTTGTGTCCCATTGGAGAGCTGTATCATTGTTTCTACTCTTAGTAATAAAAAAAATTTGTGGGTTTATGGATATGTAAACTGTATGGTTACTTTTCAAATACCTCAAAACATTAGCTGCAGTAATTGTTTTACCAGGTTTTGGTTAAATGTCTCTTTCTCCAGGAAGCTTTCCCTGACCTCTCAATGCTGGTTGGTGCCCCTCCTTTGCATTCTCGTGGCACCCTGCACTTCTGCTGTCGCAGCAGTAAACACAGTGCCTGGCTACCTATCTATTTTCTAGGTTGTATGCTCTTTAAAGAAAGCTCCATGTCTTTGTCATCCACCATTAAATTCCACTGCCTTGCCCATAGCAGGGCAATAATGATGGTTTTTAATCAATAATAATTTGTTAGATGAATAAGTAAAGGTTTGGGGGGAACTAAGTTAATACTTTATCTTCCTATCACAATATTTTGTTCATTACCCATGTCTATTTAATCCTTCCAGGCTCAGTGAACCCTCCAACAGATTCTCTGCTTGATGCTACAGAATCTACCTGTGGCATCCAGCCTTCTCCAGCCAACAGCATATCTCCTAGAAGTAAGGATGTTTTCATACTGTTTTACTTCCCATGAGCTATTAATCCTTTAACTAAGTAGGTTGATAAAGAAAAAATTTTCAGAAAATTTGTATGATTCGTGCCCTGTTCTTGCCTATGGCATTTCAGGTAAATATGTTAAGTACTATTCTCATGGATTAAATGAATTAGCACAGTTTCCAAAGTCCTTCACTTGAAGACCTGGCAAAATCAGGGTCAGTAAATCTTCAATGAGAAATTTAAGTTCTGTATTTATTATTAAATAAGTTAATAAATTGACAGTCCTCCTCCACAGCTGTGTTCTCAGTAGGGTGTTTAAGAAATTGGTTGTAAATGGGGATCCTGTGGGCCAGAGGTGGGTAGATAGTTTTAAATTTAAATGTGTTCTGGTTCATATTAATTTTGACAAAGTTGACTGGTGTGGACTTGAATTCAGCCTCCTAGTGGCATTATTAATAATGGAGTTCAGGCTGGGTCAGTGTTACTGTGGCAAAGGGATAGCAGTGACTTTCAGAAGTTGGCATTGATGCAAACAAATCATAAATTTCCATATCTATGGCCTTTTTGTTTAACAAAGAGCCAATGTGACTTTCTCTAACACAGAAAAGGATGTTCTACATAGAGTAGAAGTATGCTTTTTATTTCTTATTTAATTAAACTATCAATTTTAGCTCAAAATGAGAACTGAAAATGGAATAAGACAAAGCAGTCAGCAGGAATGAGCAATGTAGCCTGTAGCCTTTAGCATATAGCCTGAAGTCACTGTCACAGGTTGATATTTCTCAGAAAATGAAGCATGTGGCAGGATGAGAAATGCCTGCAAATCACCCAACAGTTCTACAGCCATCTGATTGTTTCCTAGTTCTTAAGGCTTTGTAATTTTCTTTTTTTATGCTTCTTTTTCTTCCACTTTTAACTCATCATTCAGCAATAAACCATAGTAAATTATGATATTCTTCATTCAACAAATATTAGCATATTCAACATTAATACCTTAAGTCTCTTTAGTACTGTACTCTATGTATTAGCTATCCACTGCTGTATAACAAATTACCCAAACAAAAGTTAACTACTTATAACACATATGTTGTCTCACGTGGTTTCACATGAGACAGGAGCAGCTTAGCTGAGTGGTTGGCTCAGGTTCCTCCATGAGGTTGTAGTCAAGCTGTTGGTTGGAGCTCCTGTCATCTGAAGGCTTGACTGGAGCTGAGTGAGGGCTCTGCTTCCAAGCTTGAACACGTTGGCAGGAAGTCTCAGCCTCACAATATGGCAGCTGTCTTCCCCCAGACCAAGTAATTCAAAGAATAGAGTCACCAAGACAAAACCACCCTCCCTTTTTATGACCCAGTCTGCAAAATTGCACACCATTACTTTTGCTATATTCTGTCTGTTAAAAGCAAGTCACTAAGTCCAGCTTACACCCAAGAGGCAGAGAATTGGGCTCCACTTCTTGAAGGAAAAAGTGTCAAAGAATTTGTGGACAAATTAAAACAACCGCATCCTATCACTTAGAAGACGTTTGCACCTAAAATTCAATGTGGTTTGATATTCTTTATTATGAGAGGTAGACAGAGTAAGCATTACCATTTCCATTTTCCAGATGGGGACACTGAGATGCTGAGAGCTTAAATGGCCACATGACTAATAAGTGGCAAAGTAGTATTCACACCAAAGTCTTCTGACTATAAATCTAGTTCTCAATACATTAGATGCCATGTTTTCTCCAAATGGTCTAAACACTTCATGAGGACAGGGACCATATTTATTTCGCTTCCTCACGCATGCCTAGCACAGAGTAGGCATGCAAAAATATTAGTTGAATAAATGAATGAAAAAGAATAAATGAGAATAATGTTCCTTCACTATGTAGATATCATTTAATAGACTGCATGGTGTCAAAAAAAGATGATAATTTGTTTCTGCCTTCAAAAAGGTTGCCTTGTACTTGGAGAGAGATGACATGCACATATGAAAATAAGTCCGAATAGTAAGGTGAAAGGTGCAGTGTTTTATAGAATTAAAATGCTCAGGGAGAGATACGGACCAAGAAGTCTTAAGTTTTGAGTATGGAAATGTGCCTATGAGTTCGTGGAGTCAGGAAGCGTTACAGAGAGAGATGAAATAAGCTGACCCTTGAAGTATGTATTGTATGTATTTGACTATTAAGAGCTTGAAAAAACATTTCAAACAAAGAGAACAAAATGAGCTATTGTGCATTGGTAAAGATATTCATGGGGATTTGAGAAAATTTTAGTAAGTAAGTTCGGGTCAGAGGAGTGGGATTGTGTAGCAGAGAAGCAGGGATGAAGATTGGAAACTTCAGAATAAAGAGAGCCTTCAGACCCAGTCTAAGGATTCTAAATGTTATACCTTAAGAGATGGGAGGGACCTCATTAAACATTTTTTTAGAAGGGAAGTGACATAATTCATTCACCAAATGTTTATTGAGCACTTCCTATGTACCAGGTGCTCTTCTAGATGCTAGAAATACAACAGTGAACAAAAGAGAAAAAAGAACCATGCTGTCATGGCGTATCCATTCTGCTAATTGAAAGCACAAATGAATTTCTTCTAGCTCAGTTTTCTGTGGGATTAGTTGACATATACTAAATTGTTCCATCATTTCAAACACCATTTTTATTTCTGTGAAGAAATTCAAGAAAAAGGAAAGGACATTTGGTATCTTCAAAGAGTCTACAATCTAATATAGCACTAGTATTAGAGAGGTTGAAAGAGCACAGTCAAATAAATATACTTGTTTAAAAGCAGAAAAAATGCTACCTAATCTGCTATCATACTAAGGTGATACAGTTTGGAAACTTCTGGAGAATCAAAAGACCTCCTTAAAAATAAGGCCCCATTACACTGGACCTCAGGACTGTTTTAGATCAATGGTTCTCACCAGGGTGATTTTGCCTCCGCCCCCCTCCCAGGGACATGTGCAGTGTCTGGGGACATTTTTGGTTGCCAAAATGGGGGAAGGGACGGTGCTCCTAGCATCTGTTACTTGGAGGCTGAGGATGCTACAACATAAGACAGGACGAAGAATTATCAGGTCCAAAATGTCAATAGTGCTGAGGTTGAGAAACCCTGTTTTAGTTCCAGGCTCAGGTATAAGAAGACTAGCTATTTCTCACTTTACAAAATCTGGACCTCTGTCAAGATAGTAACAAGATAATGTTTGGGATAATTTTCAGTCTGATTTTTATATGTCAAAAAAAGATGTCAAATCAATGGCTGCTTATATCTAAGTGAAACTTATTTGCTTAGAATAACACTGAATTACAACTGAAAAATCTAAATCTCATCCTGGCAATCTGGAGGGTAATTGTGAAATCACATGACGACTGGCTGCCTCAGAAGCTGGTAGGATTCGCCCTTGTGTTCCTTTAAGAAAGGAAATGGGGTGGAACATGTCATGGAAACCAACTTCAAAAGGCTGTGGTTTGTTCTAAATTCTAAGATGTAGTGAACTATATAATTCAGTCATAATTATTAAGCTACAGATCTTGCTGCAAACATCCAATTCATATTCTTTTTTTTCCTCAATGAAAGGATATTCTTGAAACAAATGTAGAAAGTAATGGAAACAATGGAACCTTATAACTCACAGCCAACTTCAAGAGTTACCCAGGGAAGCCCAGCTCAATTCAACCTGAACTAACTGGTGTTTTCTGAGTGCCAGCTGCATTCGCAGCACTGTCCTAGGAAAAGACAGGAGGCTGACAAGCTAAGTGGTGAGATGAGACAAGCCTGCATGGAGCCATAGAGACCCCAGACAAATCTAGGATGAGATAGTACTGGCGTAACTCCAACCTTCCATTGCCCTGAGCAGAGCCCTATGCCTTCTAACGCACTGGCTATGAATTGCCTCTAGACTACGTAGCCTCAGAGAGCAGAACCTCAGAAACCTCAGAGAGCATAGCCTCAGAAACGCCAGCCCAGACTGTAGCAGTCATCCAAGACCTTCTTTCATTCAACAAACACCGAGTGCTGACAACGCGCCAGGAATTTTTGAGGCGCTGGGATACAGTAATGAATGAGACAGGCAGGCCCCCTGCTGCACAGAGCTCACAATCTAGCCAGACCCGCTTGCCTAGCCTCGCATTTCACTGGCTACCATGCCACAGACCTTTTGGCTTTGCCTCCTATTTTTGTGTACAACTCTTGGACCTGATGGCATTTACTTTTGATATTAAGCCCTCTCTAAAAACTTAGATAATCCTTACAGTCTGGATCTTTCTACTCCTGGAAGCTTTGAGTGAAATACCATATCCGGTCTGATTCTAACCATTGGCCAGCTCTCCAGGTGAGCACACCTGATCCTTGGCGAGTGGGGGGAATCAGAGAGGAAGGGTACAGACTGAAGGAAGTAGTTCCACAGGGGATGCAATGAAACTACTAATTTATGAGAAAGCCTGTCAGAAATGGGTGGGAGATCAACCTGGAATTAGATGAGATTAGTCCAACACAAATACAGGGGAAGCAGATTAGATCATTTGTAGATCTGGATATTCTAAAGTGAAGAGGGGGGTCCCAGAGAGACTCTGCAAGGCAATGAGAAGCCTATGTGATTTGTTTGTGATAGCAACTTTTGACACCTTCTCTGGTCATGCCATACCTGTCTTCAAGGGTCAGGACACCTCTGTTGCTGTCTGATCATTTCTGCCTTTATCATATGTATCCAAGCACTGAAAATTAGGAAAAGTAAATGAGTTCTGGGGTCATGGAGAGTAGAATCAGGAAAGTTGCACAGGGAGTCTGGAAAGAAATATAGACTCAAATAGAAGAAAGGTGAGAGACAGATCTTCACATAATGGTCTTGAGCAAAGACATAAAATAAAATGCATGCAGGACCTAGGAAGACAAGCAGGATGAGTGCTGGCAGTGCTTGTTGGGAAGGGGGCTGCAAGTTGCTTAGGTGAGGTGGAACCAGGTGGAGGTGAGCTTAGGTTAATAGGCTATGGATTCGATCTGCAATCTGAACATCAACAAACAT